TCCAGGTAGGTCAAATTACGTCAATCAGAGGATGTGATCGCTATCCTGTTGTCTTCTGAGCTCTTTAATGACGAGCAGAATGTGTGAGACCACGTACATGGTCGTCTTGTGAGTGAAGCTGGGTGTATCTGATTAACTGCTCGGAATGAAAAGCATTCGCATAAATCCCTTATGGGTTGTGATTGCCAAGCATTTGTAGGATGGAGATGATGCATCTCTTCTGTCTCATTTGCATGACGATCTCCTCTTTAGGAGGTGGAGTGAGTGGCGATAACGGTAAGGGATCCCTTTTTTCTTGGTCTCATCAACACCCACATCTAATAACCAACGCAACTCAATATGCTCATGAGCAAAAACACTAGTTTTCTCTGCTTATTATGTGTGCGTGAGCTGTGGCTTAAATGAATGCAATGTCAGAGGCTAGTGCACATTAACACCCTTCCTGGGAATGGAGGAGGAGAGGAGGCAAGGAAAATAGCGTATGTCAAAGGAAATGAGCATGATGAAGCAGATTCGATCTCCCCTATCGTCATGTAAATGTTGTGCTGCGTAGAATTCGTGCGTTTCTGTGGCAAATAAAAAAGGACTAAACTGGAAAAGGAATTGAAAGGACTGTTGGCACGTCTCTTCCACAACACAGAGTTTCCGATCCGTCCATTTGGGCTGGGATGCCCATGAGATTCGTGAATTTTAATCTATTGCTCGTGCTAAATTGGAAAAAAAAGCAAACCTCGCGATTGCATCAATCACTGTTGAGGGGTTGCAACCCGACGTAGAGTACAAAGGGGGTCTTATGGCATACCTAAGTGAAGAAGAACGCTGAAACCACCCTGTTTATTGTTTTTATGCCTAAGTTCTCAACGCCCCCAGATAGTCAATAACGACAAAGGTGACTCTATGCAGTGTCTTCACAACATAGAGGCGTCGATTGGGATTGTGGCTGCTTGATACACATTCACCTTAGGATGAATGCTATCTTGTGCGTGTTGAGGTCAGTGTATTCTAAAAGAGTCCTTTAGTAACTCATTCAGTTGTACTTCCTAAGCCACTTAGTCAACTCATTATGCCCTCTCACCCTTGTTACGATAAAGGATGATACTCAACAGTAGTGGGCCACTGTTGGGGTGATACAGACTGATGTTAAGGCCTCACTATAAGACTCACTGTTAGGGTGTTTAAACGTCACGAACCCCTTTACAAGCATGCGGTTTGCAATCCACGGCAAAAACATTGACTTAGGATTGTAGAGCTGCGCCGGCAACGTAAGATGTGTGCAAGAATTAATGGTGATGGTTGCATGGCGAAAATAATCGCTTAAAAATTCCACTCAAATCTAACATCGCGGGCATAAGGCTGGCAACACAGCCATTGGCTGGATGGAAAAACTCTCGTACCGATTGGCCAGGCTGCTAAGAGAAATGACCAATGGTAATGACGAACGCGTCGCTCAGTTCGATGATTGGAAATGGCTATCCAATTCCCGAACTAAGAGGATACTGAAGAATGGTGTACTCAAAATTGTTAAAATAAATGACTTTGGGGAAAGTGAAGACCAAAGGAGAAGCATTGGTCATATTCGGTGGATATATGAGGGTTGGCACAAATATTGAGGAAATAAGGCAAGGTAGCTATGAAGGTTGTGTGAAGAGTTCGTGGTGGGAAGCAACACGGAAGTGGGTGATGATTTGCTGAGTTCTTTCATCATTTGCACTGAAACTGACGGTTGCCAGCACACAGCGTAAGCAGCTCTCCATTCGACTGATTACCAAATCTCTTCACAGTCAGTCGATGTAGAAAGGGGCAGACGGTGATGGCAGCTGTAAAAACCTTCAGCTGAGGGCATCGTGTTTGATAAGCTGCGGTGTCCAGTGTCCCAATGCAATTCATGCCAATTTCTGCTCACTACAGCTGTGTAATTAGTGTCGATGAGAAGGTCGGATGAGCACTGAAGCCTCATCAAGTTCTGAGGATTAGTAATGCGCCAATGGGAAATAAGGGTGGGACTGAGGATGTGAATCCTTTTGTTGTTTTGTTACACTATGGCGAATTAACAGCAGCATACAGAAAAATCAAACAGCACTCGAATAGTGTCTATCCCATGGCTATAAAAGTCATTGAAGTTTATGCGTGTTCTACTTAAGGCTTATAAGTAGTTCTGCACGCAAAGGCCTTGTTGTGCTCTGGTGAATGAACGAAAACTGGCAGTCTCATTGCAGTCAGTCAACGTTTGCTTATTGGCTCCCTCCTTCTCCATGCTGCAATTACTTGAACACTTTTAGCCTCCATAAATGAAAAGTGTAATGTGGTTTTTTTATGGAGTTTGCATATAGAATACAAACCTAACCCAATTTCCTACAGCCTTACCATGTCTCCTCTCGCTCCTCATTCTCCTTGCTTCATTCCCCATACCTGACTTATTACCACTTCTTGTCCACTTTTTTCTGCTTCTCCTCCTCCGCTCTACTTTTTTGGCATCGTCACTTACTGTACATAGCATGTTTCTCGATCCCCTTCTGTATCTCTCCTCCGTGTTCTCCAATTTGCCGCTTTGTAGCGGAGGTATAGCACGATCATTTGGTTGACATCGTCATGAGCTAACAATACTAATCCCTGTTTCACACGACCCATAGCCATGTTTTCTTTGTTGTCAATATTTAGCCCGCAGAACATTGACCTAAGCCGCATTTTTCCTTAAGTAAATATGATCTTAGCAGGGTATGTAATGATCCCCTCTCTGATGTGATCAAACATCCATAATTACAGATAGAACAGATGTCGCCTATGTTTGCATTACTTTTAGTTTAAAACAGTGCACGACTATTCAATTCACAGGGATAAAACAATTCGACAAAGAAGGTGACACCGAATGCACCACGCATCCACGAATGTGTCCCGCCCTGCATGCGATCGCCACCGACAACTCAACGGCGATCACTGCTCCACAATGTCTGACAATGCAAGCAAATTTCTTGCTTGTGGAGACAGAGAAAGCATGTTTGGACAATGGAGAGCAGCTAAAATGTACAATCACACCAGTGTCATGCACCCGTGCCAATGACTTCTACGAGGGATTGTCACTACATAATTCCGCAAATGCATTTGTGTTGCATTATTATTGAAGTAAAGTTGGTTAACCTGTGCATTGTAAACATTGACTCTATTTTTACGTATTGAACAGGATTTTTGGTTGGATTTTCATGAAATTGCAGTGCAGCCATAACTCTCCTCCATGCACGCAACGTCTCTCCATTTCACGTTTTAAGCTACCTTTGTCCGAAGGATGCCTATAATAAGTGACAGCCGCCTTACTTCACAATTGAAAGATTGCTTACTTGGTAAGATCATCACTTTGCCACTGATAAGGATTACATTCGTATGTTTTATCAAAGCACGTTCACGTTACCCCATGTTATGTTGCATTTTCTCCTCTTCTAGTGTCGCAGAAAGTTGAAATACCGTCACTGTGCATGTATTGGCATATGAGATGAAAGAAAGAGAGAGGAGTAGACTGTTCAAGGGCAGAATTTATGTTAAGGCAAAGGAAAATGATAAAAGAAAGGATAAAAGTTGAAAAAGAGGAGATTTTTACTGTTTATTTAGAGGGATTGCAGTGATACATAGTGGAGATGGGCATTGTGAAAGGCAAGGAAGAAGATGAGACAGATGAGGCAAGAGCGAGAAATAAGACGTGTACAGGGCAGTGCGGAGTGTGCGGATGGAGAAGATCACTTCATAATTTAGTGGCGTGCAGACCTGCTGCGGTAGCAATCAGGGTAGGAAAACTTGGAAGGAATGGGACGAGATGAATGCGACTTAGGTAAATAGATAAAGAGGGATGTGAAATATCATAGAAGTACAAGAAGGAGGATAGCATGGTCAATCACTCTCCTCCACCTTACCTTATGACAGATACATCCACGCACACAATCCGCTAAGCATCAAGTCTGAGAACGTACACAAACCCCTATGCACACCCACATCCATTTCCCTGTGGTTAAAGTACACTGTCTGGTAGACATGCATTACTTAGTTGAAGATTTGACAAAGCTATCGTAACCAAATTACACTACGTCCTAATACGCAAACTCGTGCCATCTTTATGTGTATTGAGGTGTCATTGTTTAGTGTACAAGGAGTGCGTTCTCTTGCAAAGGAGTGACAACTGATCAATGGCTTGAACAACGGCCAGTGAGGAGTGCAAAGCTTGCATTCACCCAACACGAGATGCCCCAGTAGGAGGACTGTTGTGAGACCACGTGGATGACGCTGTCAGTGAAATGGGTAGTAATGATGTGGGTGAGAGCCAATCAGTGCGTTCGGTGCCAATCAGCCAATGATCTGCAGCCTCACAACTCGCTATTGATTGGTGGAAAGGCACCGGAAGAAGTGACTCTAATGTGGTCTTCCATCCGACAGCTGGATCACCTCCTCACTCCCACCTATCCCACACGAATGACCTCCATCCAACACACCTCACTGTTACGATGCTTGATGGAAAGGCTTTTGGGAGGGATCGGGACTAACTTATCCACCACGTGCATTCATATCTTGCTATGATGCAAATGCCACCGATAAACCTGGCTACTGTAGACAAGGTGTGCGTATCCCAGAACTCGCGGCAATCATTGTTGACCGTTGAGTGGGTTGGAGTTGCATGAGATTGCATCAACAGCGCCTTCTGGTTTACCAAGTCCACACATCAACCCACCCTGTACACGTGAATGCACTTGATTGCACGCAGTTTGAGCTACTTTACTTTTGAAGGTAGTCAAGTGAGGCGTCAACCGGCCGATTGTTGGAATGACCGGCTGCATCCGTAGTGGGGTTGTCACTTTTCCACTGGTTATGACTTTGATTCTTATTAACACTAACAAATCTTAAGAAGAAATGGTGTATAAAATCAATTATTATTTGCTTGGAGACGTTGTCGTTCTTCGCCCGTAGGTATGAAAATCTTTCATGGCGGTCGTCAACTAAGTAAAACAAAGTCAAATGACAAGTCATGTTTGCGGATTATTTATGGTGCATCCAAAAACCTCTGAAGTATTTAGCCTACTCACATCTTCCAATAGAATATTTGCGAAAAAGTCCTCTGGACCACCAATGACAGTTGCCACGAAAGACTCCAAATCCTCCTCCACCACCTCGCCCTTTGTATATTCCTCGGGAACCTAAATGGAGGTGCATCAATATCTCCTTTGAAGGCGGACAAACCTTTATTTTGTGTCCCACCATCTGTTCCACCTGTTTTTGCGTTATCTCCAACACTCGAGTAGCGGTGTTCTCCTGCCCCGGTGACTGCAGTGACATTTTGTACTCTAGAAAGGTACAAAATTGTGAGTTCGTTAGGAATGCGACATTCGCGTTGATGCTACGCTTTCGTGCACAAAGGATTCGGTTAAATTTTTCTGCCTAATGAAACATGCATTGTAGACTTACTTTCTTCAGTAATACAGAGCACCTGAAGTAACTTTCGCAGCGCTTCCTTTGTTTGTTGTTGAAAGTGCGATGTGATGCCCTCAACTTGAAGATGAAATTCGAAACAGAAATAGTGAGCAAAAAGATTGCACATTTGAGTTGGATGGTCGTGAGTGTCAAGAAGTGAAATCTCTGATAAACTTTCCCAAGCAAAAAAGTGTTAATAAGGACTAGTTTTTCTGCTACTCAACATTACGCTGCAGAAAGTTTACAAGCAAATGACGATACACATAAAACACACCGCTTACTTTCCTTCTCAACGTTCTCCTGCCCATTTCTTAAGGTATTAGCTCGGACTTTGGTGAGAGAATGAACCGCGGAACTACGAATTTCGTGGTATCGTTTTTTAAATGCCTTGATTTGTTCATTTTCAATTCTCAGCATCACATCTCGTGTAATAACTACACCTGCAGGGTAAAGACAAAAGGAGGGAGGCGACAGACATCAGAAATGCGTGTTATCGCTCTAACCCTGGTGAATTAACATCAAATCTTTACACTCACCATTAACATAAGTTTCTCTCTCTGGTTTGAGATAGTTGCATATGGTCTTGTGCAATTGTTCTTCAGTCAGATCACTCAGAGCTGCATAAATCAAATAGTGGGTGCTTAGTAAACGCCTACTTACTAATTTGTAAGTAGCACAACAGCTTGATTCGAAAATTTGATTTGAATTATTAACGTTTCTTTCGGTGATGCCTTTGACAATTTCAGTAAATTGTTTGCGAAGCCTATTACTTCAGCATAGGGTTTGTTACTATGTGATTGTCAGCAAGTCAGAAAAATTTGGGGAAATTACTTTCAGGAATGAATGATAAGCACGTCTCTCACACCTCGTTTGCCTTTAGATGAATCTTTGAGGATTTAAGGCTCGCATATGACACAACTTTACACGTAAAGCATTGAGATAAGACTAAAGCTAATCTGACGCGACTTATTTTAAGCATATCTGTCCACTGCTCAATCTCTTAAAGGTAGAGAAGAGAGGCAAAACTGGTGGGAGAGCTGGTCCCTCAGAGGTCTGTATTTTTGTGGGTTTTCTACTGACGCCTCTTATCACTTTATTTTTTAAGCATTTCATGACATTGTTCTTGTAACTTCGCAAGTCAAATCACCATTCGGGTTCGAAGCGCTCAAACACTGGGCCAGGGCCTGGCGATTGTGGCAATTGAGCACGCTGTCAGACAAAACTACTATCCACTGCCTTGATCAAATATTAGTCGGCTTCTTAAAGGGGCTGTACACCTTAAAATTAAACGAATAATACAGGCAAGGGAATTGTTAAAATCTGTTTGTTTTCAATGCATAGCCTTGCCGCCTCATTGTCGCCTGCATTGGAGCATTCAAGTGATGGTCAGAATGTGCTGAAGGACTTAACTTCCACTATTTTTTTTAAGCAAAACTATCAAAAGTCGCCAAAGCTTGTAGTTCGTGCTCTTCACCGGAGTGACTGTTTTTGGACGCATATCCTCCTACCGAGAGCGTAAGTCCCTACTGGACCGCGGAGCATTAGAAGGCTCCTCCACCCTACTTCAACACTACACCTTGACGCACTGCAGTTACGCTCTGCTGCTGGTGCCTGTCACCTTGAGGGGAGTAGATTGGAGAAGTATCCGGCACCAAATAAAACCTCTAACTGCGCGCGCACACGACGTACAGTGACGCTTTATTCTCGTTTAATACAGTTTAACACGCAATTTTTCTCCTCCTCCACATTTCTATTTCCAGTTTCCCATTCCATGCGGTTAATTAAACAGCAGAAAATTCGCCTTTCTTGGTTCTAGTAAGACCTAAACGCAACTACATGATGTTCAGCTAAGACAAAGTTTGCATGCAAATGAGGGCAGCCCTCTACCAGCTATGCTAAACCATCCTAAAGTGTGTATAAAGATGGCGCAAAGTTTGTCCTTTTCGTTGCAGGCTACACTAGCTCAAACAAAATCCATGCATGGCTGTAATTAAGTAGTATATTCAGGTGGATTTAGATAGTTATGCTGCCAATATTTGTGCTCTTGGCGCCTGACCACTCCATCGAAGTGTGCATGCATGATCAACTTTCTTCTTCCCCTTTCTGCCTTTAAACGTGGAATGGAGACTCTCACTAAAAGGGGGATGGCGAAGGTGGCAAAATAACAGCAGCATTGACCACTTTTCCACTCCCGATTTGCATTTTATAGTCAGTCACTTGGTGCGAGCTAATAGAAAATGCATTCAGTTTACATTGCAGCAAGAGTTGCTTCGGTGGATTAGAAAGCCATGATCCACGATGGTGGTAAGTAGAGCTAGCCTGCTGGACTTCAAAATTGACTTAAGCCAGTTAGTCACGGTGATAGAGCTACTCGTAGAACTTAATAAGGCCTGGCCATACAAGTTTGACCTAATTTTGCCTACTTAAATAGCTACTTAAATGCGATTAGAGCTCACGAGGAAGACTGTCCTTGAACAAACTCTTGACAATCGTGTCGGAGGCGCGGCCACAGAGTTTGTCGGGGGCGTAGTCATAGAACCAATGGCACATCATGGCCCTGTAAAAACTGAACGTAAAAAGGGAATAATATAAACACATTTGCATTATATCCTTATCAATTTTTTGATGGCGACGGTTTGGGTTTATCACTTTTACCTGAATATTCATCTAATCACCTACTCATTTGCTGATCTACCACACTGCTTATTCGTTGCGACAATCATAAGCCTTCTCGATAAAGTGCCAGGCGTCCTAAAGCAGCTTACCTCATTCCATGTAAACGAAAATTACTCTCCGAGAGACTGTTGGTCATTGGAATGGAACAATTAGCAATTAACAACTCTGAACTCACATATCCCGAGAACAGATACGGCAGAGCATTTCACCGTTATACTCTTTCGCACAGCGTCTGCAGACCTCGCGCCGGCAGAGGCTGCAGGTCAGGCGAGGATTGAGGAGGATTAAAAATTGGCTTCTACATATGGTACAGGTGTTTGCAGATCCTGGCAACGAAAGCGGTGCTTGACTGTCCTCCTGCAGCAGTCCGTTTCGAATTTTTCTTGCAAAGTCAATGAAGTAAACTCGGTAGGTAATTTTATTAGGTGACTGATTGAAATGCTTCGAGCGTCAAGCTCGTTAACCTTCAGAGTCGGGATTGCTACTTAATAGCTAATTAAGTAGGTGCGAGTGGAAGTTGGTTTTGAATAGTGAATAACCATCCAAGTTGTTTGCCTTAGAAGTGTCTTTTAGCATATAACCGTACTTTTTGAATGTAATTAAATCAGTTCCGGAGACAGCAGAAAACCTCACAAAATATTATAAAAACGAATTTAAAAAGTAGGTGTTTAGGAGTCAATCATTTTAATGGCATTACCTAAACGAAACAAAGAACACACGTTGAATCGTGCTGCATTAATCGGGATTGCAGTCCTACGCTTTATTCTGTTTTCGTAAAAAAAAGAACAATAACACTTAGCTCTAGAAACAAGATTCATTGCAAAATTGTATCAGATGCATGCCTTAAGGGTGCAGTATTGCCTTCTTTGCGAGTCTTCAACTCATTTTCTCTACTTCCCACCACGAGCAGGAAGTAGGTGGAGCATTTGATTTTGCTGTTTTACTTATTACGCATCTCAGCGCCTCTGGACATTAGTGTCCACGACACAAACCCGATCCGTGCCGTTCAAACAGCGGACTTTACCCTCCCTCAACAAGACACGTAAAACACCCAGTAAGGGCGTTTGCGTGGCCTCTCAGAGCAGATCACTTACTTCAACACCTAAACCAACTTGATCTCGTGCCGTGTAACAAAGTTGTAAACAAACACTTCACTTCAACTTTCACTCCTTCACCGCCGTTGTAATTTAAGAACAATGAAAAAAAAAAGAAGTTAGACGAGCATCAAATTGGCGGTTAAACCTTATGCAGTGTTGAGTAAGCAACTGCTCACTTTAGAATTAAAAAATCTGTTGAAAAGAAAGAAAAGAACGCTTCTCACTTTCCTTCTCATGCGTCCCTATAGGGGAGAAGATAACTTTTCAGATGACAACTTGTCGATCGGTTGACCGGATGGGTGACAAGTCCACGCCAAATGCACTTGACAACGGTGGACAAATCAGACAAGTTGTAGGCTTAACAGCAATGCTAGTAAGTTGCGAGAGTTAACTCCCGTTTTCCGTTTCTGATGTTAGAATGAGTGACTTAGCGTTCGACACAGGCAGGTTGGTGTGGATTTTGGTAAATCACCGAGTCCTTAAAGGGATGACACATGGGTAATGAAAAGGATGTAAAAATGATTGACACCCTTGTAGCAGGGGCTCTACTGGCAGAAACAAAAAAAGAGGGAACACCATCACTTGCGGGACAAGAGTGGTGCCGATTTCGTGCCCTTATAAATAAGACTAAACAACACACAGAGACACTTTTAGCACCGATTCCTCCTCAAGTGTGGAGTCCGGACAACTGCGCACCGCGATTCCCAACCACCCAGCGCATAGACGAACAATAAGCCTAGGAGGCAGTAAAACTATTAACTCATGGTACTAAAAAAAAATGCCCTACAAGAGGCGTCACTAAGGCATGCTAGGGAATCCTAACGATCCCTAAAAAAACTTCTTGTGAAAAAATAAACCTTTTTTTATGTGAATGTAGTCACAAGATAAAGTGTGATCACATTAATTTGATCGATGGATCATCCCATGTGCGAAAAAAAAATAGAAAAGACTGACTTTGAGGCACGGCGCAACCCCTAGCAAGGCATTGACAAGAATGTTGATGCTGTAAAGGGGTTGAGATGTGTGATCCCCAATCCCAACTCAAAAGGCTAAAAAGGTTGTCTCATCTGGGCGACACGCCAAACAAAGGCGCTCACTTGAGACGGTGCTTCTCCATACAGCGAATTTCCAAATCGCGTTTCACCACCGTGAGGATGGCTTCACGCTCCTCTGTGCTGAAGCGACTCAAGTTGACACCGAGGGTGGTGGTCGCAGCAGCGTCTTGAGGTGGTATCAAATTTCCATTTTGCTTTTGTTGTTTTTTGGTCTTAAAACCTCCTTTTCCCAGTGGCATTGGCTGCGTCTTCGCCTCTTGACAAAAGGGAGAGTGGAAAAGAGTTAGGAGGTTAGAGAGAAATTGTCGGGAGAGTGACACCTAATTACGTGGAGCAGATAAGCATCCAACTTTGTTAGCCCTTTTCTTGCTCTCTCAAGTGGACCCACCAGTCATCCCACCGTGGGATGACTGTAAGTAGTCTTTGACTGACAAATTTCAATTAAATGCCATCACTAAAAGGCAAGAAGTAACAGTTTGAATTTCGTTGGTGCGTTAGTGTTTATGAAGGGACATGACACAACTGAGGTGGGTGATATATCAACCTAAAGAGACGAGTTCTACGGGCTCTAGTAAATACACTGTGCTTAAGAGGAAGAGGTTATGCAAAGGTTTGCAATTCAACCACAATCTGACAAATTATCATTACAAGTAGTAAGTTTTCTGAGGGGTAAATAAACCAATCTTGCTACCAGTGTCAAAATAAAGTCAGTCCAATATAAAAACAGAGCAAAGCAAGAAAGTTAGGGAATGGATTAGTGATGGTCATAATGATGCCACAGGTCTTTTGAGTGGCAATAAGAACTTCAAAGATTTGTGCAGAAATTACTTTCAATGGTCCTGTGATCGTAGCGGTCAGAAGATGAAGGATTGCCCATCCAATTGGTACACAATTAAAAACAAAATCTTTGGCTCAAACAAACAAATACCCAAACAACGGAAAAGCAAACCTCCACTAACTCAACACCCTAGTTGAAGGCATGAGTAAGTGAGTCTTAGGAGGCTCTTCTTTTAAGGTGGCCTTGAAGTTATACATACGCGCACAATCATAGCACCGAGATCGCACTTATGAGCCAATCGAATTTAGTGTACCCGTCAGTCACAAAACCAGAGACAGAGGTAGCACAAACAAGCACATGTACAAGTGAGAAAAGATAAATGCATTTTAGATGAAAGTGTGCTAGGACTACCACTTTTGGACCATATTTGAAGCAAAGCACTTAAAAAGTAGTTGACAGGTGAAGCACTTTCTTGCAAATGGCATCACCTTTTGTGTGCTTACGTGGATGAGCACGACATTCAAAACTAGCTTTGATGCTAAAAACACTTGTTTAGCACACTGAATGCGCCACGACAGCAAGTCCTATGAACGCACCTCAGGGCCCAAACGCCCGAGTGAAAGCCATCGATTTTCTCTGCTGGGAGCAGAAATCGATAAAAGTACGTGTGAGTCATGGACGCGGATGTCGTTCTCCCGTGGCGCTGGTCGACTAGATGCGATAATCTCAGCCATGGACGGATTTTCCCACCTTTTAGCGAATATATATATTTTTAATTCTATATGGGACTTAGACTTCACTGCATAGAATTTCTCAAATTTTCATCGTGATCGTCCGCTTACATTTAAAATTAGGCTGCAGCAGAACCTAAGTTTCTGGGACTATGCTGGTTTCCTCTTGGCCTTCATGCACATCACCAATACAGTTCCTTTTGGACCGCTTTGCCTTCTTGTGACTTTAGAGGTGATCTATTGGGATAAGTGGTAGCAATCCAAATGTAGACTTTTACTCAAGACCGATAAACTAGCAACGTTAAGGTATAGATAATACCTACAACTACATTTAGCTCATTTAATGACCCTTACAATGTCTTTTCATCCACTTGTTACCATGGCTGGAATGTGCGAACGCTGTGGATCGGAAATGCGCATTGTTAGTGCTCCTCACATTTCATTATTTGTAACTGTGGTCGTAAGTGCGCATTCGAAAACCTGTCAATCCAAATTTATGAAAAGTGGCCTTATGAGTCAATTTATGGAGCATTTTTCTGCCTGGTTTTATTGTCACCCGTACGTTCACCCATCAAAGGGGAGGGCGGAGTTCACCCCTTTGATGCGACAGTTCAAGATGCACAAGCAAAGCCAGCGAGAAGGGTCTTTTGAAAGCCCACCGAATGTGTGAAATGAAAATACAAAATTTGGTTTTTTTGTTACTAGTGCCAGGGTAGGAGGTTCGCATACATAAATAATTACTCAAACACCACATTGGCATTTCTTGAGAAAGTAATTGACCACGGTGATCCAAATACTTTAGTGTTTCATTGTGGCATGGATTTGAGGCAGCTATTGTTTACTTTAGGCTTTTTGCAGTTTTATGGGCATTTAAGGCTTCTTATCAAACTTATGCCCAACAAGGTGGACTCTCCAGCTCCACCCTCAGCTCTTCTGAGTGTCAGCAGCAGACACTGTTCAAGGGAAATGTTTTACTTCGCTCTCAGAGCAGGCGCATGCCTCTGCGCTGGTGGCATCACTTCGTGATGCAATTTTAAGGGATAACTGGAAAACCTTCGATTTTAAGGCAACAAATGAAAAGCTTCGACTTCACAATTGTGTAGGAATGTCATGCACAATCCCGAAAAGTCTGTTACGAGACGATCTACAACACCCAACCGGCTGGAGAAAGCTCAAGGAGGCAAGGGCCCGACAACAAGGTCATTCGGAAGGATTGATGCAACTCTTTAGAGAGGGTTTGCCTTGAATCGTGGGTTTGTACTCCTGTTAGGGGACATCAGTGATGGTCAGCGCATCCCCTTACCGCGGAACTCAAGGTCAAGCAGTTCCACAGACATTTGATGGGTTAATTGCGACTTTCTTGGCTATATAAAAGCCATAAAAGCGCCTTTATCCTTGCATCGTGGGCAGGGTAAAGAAGCGGGAGCCATGAATGTGAGTTTGGTGGATAATGCGGTAATTAATCCACCTCCATTACAAGTACAGCTGAAAAGTGTGATTGCTTAGAAGGAGAGAATCCCTTAAGGAAATACGATGGGTGCCAAAAAAACTTAATAGGAAGATATGTGTGGATTTTTTTTTACACCACGAAATTAAACTTCATCACTCTTTTTTTTCACAAGGAAATTCAAGGAGGCATAAAAGTCGGAGTTTATGATGTCATCAGAGTGAGAAGGTTTTTGGCAACGCATAAGTGGTAGTCAAGCATTTCTTTTAAGTGGGAATTGCGGTGAATGGTAGGTAAAGTTCCCTACAGTGTAGGCTTCTAGTGTGGGCTGCACTCTCTCAACTAGTGCCTCGGTAACGTGCGGATCAAGGAAAATTGGAGACAAGCTTTAGTTTGCCATACTCAAATTGTGTTTAGGAAGAAGTGTGAGCAACATATCAGTGTAATACGCATGGGTTGTTTAAAATACAACTTGTAGGTCGGAGAGGGAAAGCTTTGTTGGAACAATGCGCCTGGGAAACAAAAGTGACGTGACCCCAGGACAGCAATACGCCCCACCCCTCCCCAATATTTCCTCTTTTACTCTGTCCCTTGGCTTGTGTAGCAGCGTACCTAATAAAGCATCGAGAAGGAGGCAGACCTCTGAGAAGTCGGTTGTAAAGCCTTGTTTATTCGACTTTTATGGGGCTAACGGTCACTTTGATGTTAATCTTGCTCTAGACAGTGAGAAAAATAGGTAGGCCACCATGGGGATGTTTAGAAAGCTCATAAGGAATTCATACATATACGATGAAACAACTGAAGGGTATGATTGTTGTAGAAAAGTTTAAAATGTGGTCGATGCATGCGGGTTCATGTATCTGCTAGATGGTGGCCTTCAAGAGGTGGATGCTGACAATGTGGGTGCGTAAAGAGCTCTATCATGACGGAATCTCTCTCGGACCAAACTGGTCCTTGCTTGCATTTATTGGACTGCTTATCAGCTGCAGCGCATGCCGATCCATGCTGCTTTGGATCATCAAAAATTAGGCACTTTACCGTGCATGATCTTTCATATCGCCTGAGGTCTTTCACTTAGATGAGGTGGCGCTGATGCATGAGCTGTCTCACTCTATGGGTCTATAATGAAGATCCTCTACCAGCAACGAAGGTTAGAGTACTCTTCGAAGCTAGAATGGACTTGTGAAGTTTTGAAGGGAGAGGAGAGAGAAGTGAAACGGCTCACATTATATCATGCCCTTTGACCCGTGTCTTGGTAAAGGTGCCATTGGATTCGTCCCCAATTGCACCGATGTGCATCTACCTAGAGTTATCACTAATCCCCTTCTCGTAACCGTTAAATCCCTCGAGCCGATTCATCTAATGCGGACACCGTTGCCTTCGTACTCGAAATTGAAACGAATCAATTTGTCGGCGTACACGGGTCATGATTCTTGCATATGCAATCAAAATTGCAGTGGTCGTCCCATAATGGTAATGAGGTAGGCTGGGGGTAGTCTGCTTCGATGCATGCACAACAAAGTCTGAATTATGATCTTTGAACATGTTATGTGGGGATTTTTTAGCCCTAGGGCTGAAAAGATGTATCCAAGCCTATGGGAGTTGGTCGAATTTTTGCTAGAGCTGAAAGTCAGAGCACGCATACGAAGGAGGGTGAATGCTAGAGTAGCTATCACATTAAGACGTTGCTTATGTAACCGCCTGATGTCTGGTGGTTACTTTAAGATTTATCGGGCCCTTGTGCTCGTGAGTCACCTTCGGGCCAAGCTCAGTGTAATGCTTTGTTTATGTGACCACCTGAGTGTGGCAGTCACTTTAAAATTTATCTGACCCTGTACACGTGGGCTGGCCTTCGGGCCACGCTCAGGCCCCATTTCTCCTGTTGTCTTTGGAATACATGTATTCAACCTCACTTATGCCTTCTACTACCCAAGTGGAAGCTTCGGAACGCTACACTCAGAGCTAGTTCTTTTGTTCACACTGGAATGCATGCATTTAGCTCCACTTACTGCCTTCTCGAAACGCTAGGGGCGTATATTTGATCACAATCCAACTACTAAAAGGAAGGATCAAGAGGTTTGTACAATAATTCCAAGGATAAATAAATGATGTTCAAGAGTCGGCTTAAAATGGGGCGGAAATACAGAAAATGAGATCCCATTTAATAAATTAGCAAAACAAACGTTAAATCAGGATTAACCTAATTAATTTATTTAGTGTAAATGTCAGTTAGGCAGAGAGAGTTAAAAGTGTAGTCTTTAATCACTTGTAGCAAATTTAGCAACTGCATGTTTGTTTTAACTACTCTATCCCGGGGCGCCATTTGTTGATGGGTTTTGTTTGTATGTGGATTCTGGAATCTTCTAGTGCTGGTATTCGTTACATAGTTGCTTCAGTTAATATCTGCCCTGCATTGGACTATTGAAAGCTCTAGAAGTGTGGCGAAGTTCGTAGTTGGTTAACTGTATTTCATCATGGTTTTCCTTGTCGACTCGTTAAGTATAGTATTCTGCACTCCAGCGTCATTATTTGTGTCACTCTCCCGTTATGTTTCTAAGTCACCACTTTCTTTTTGGTGAATTTTGTAGCTTAACGCAAAATGAATTTTGCCGCCAAGCTCTGTCATTGCAACAGTCGTCTCTTTTCCGGCGTTGCCGGTCTTCGCCTACAGACTTTAACTCTTCGTGAGTTCAGCTCGGGGAATTCTTTCCGAGCGTCAATGCGCCATCGAATGGAACGAATTCGACGTCAGGTAGAAAACCGCACTCCTTTCAGTCGTACAGAAACGCTTTGTAAGTTAGATTCAGCACTTTCAGCTTATTACTATTTGCCCTAATATTTCTTTTTACTGTGGTTATTGTAGAGTAGGTTCTTGTGGAAAATTGTAGAACTGGAAAGCCGATGTTTTACTGTCGCTTTTACTTGCGTTCATTCTACTTAACGATCCTGTAATGTCACTCATTTTGGATTCCTCACTTTTGCCTCATTCATTTCTTATTCTCAACAGTTCAACTTCTACCACCTTTCTAGTGTGTTTGTCTTTTTGGAGGTTTAACTTTCGCTTTCGCATCCAAATCTCTACGAGTGCCTCACGCGTACTTACTCTTAATCCCCAATTCTTCATAGCTCTGGATGGTACACGTGCGATAGTTCTGGGCGGAGCGGCGCTAGGTCTTGGTGGTCTCTGCCTCTACGGGATGTACGGATCGAATGTGGGAGCCAATAGCCTCTCAGTTTTGGATAGAGCGGCGGTGTGGCCGGACTATGTGCGCCAGCGTATCCACTCCACCTATGCTTACCTGGCAGGCGGAGCTGCTGTTGCTGCTGCCTCTGCTACTACTCTAGTCCATTCGCCTGCCTTTGTTCGTGCTGTGACTGGTGGTGGTATTCTAGCTCCGCTGGCGATGCTGGCTGCAAGCATTGGTGCTGGTGTTGTTTGCCAGGTTCGTGATGCCACATTTTTCCTGGCGTTGGTATCATATCACATGAGTCAGTTATGCTTTCTTACCTTCTGATTCACTTTTTGGATGGTCTAATTTTTTATTTTACTCGTCCTAATTTTGGTTTTCTTTCACGTTAGACTGTGGTGGTGGATGTTAGTTTTTTGGTCTTTTTTCACACCTTTTTCAAGAATGGTCATTCGTATCCTAGAGGAATCGATCGCGTATTCGAAACAAATTAACAATTGTGAAATATGGGCAACGTTTCAGATTGAGAGAGGCCGGTAGAATCGGCGGAATTTTGGTGCTTTTTATGTTGTAATTCTCGGCAGCTCCAAACATGTGTTCACCTCCTCTTTATTAATAGTCAGTAACGCAATTTTGCTGGAAGGTAAATGCGTAATTAACCAGCTTACGAAATGTTAGAGATATGAATAGTCTTGCATTTTAGCTATGAAGAATATTCATTTGATATGAAAGCTTTACTTTTGCCATATCACAAAATCGTAATACTCTTGGTTTATCATTTTTTTAGATGGTGCCTTATCCAGCAGACGGCAGCAAGTTCAACACAAAGCATTTAGCATGGCTGCTCTACGCTGTAAGTTTGGGTGGTGTTGTGGCCCCCGTCTGTCTACTTGGTGGGCCGATCTTGACTCGCGCTGCGGTCTACACCGGTGGAATTGTCGGGGGTCTTTCGGTTGTTGCCATCTCCGCGCCTTCAGATCGTTTTCTGCGTTGGGGTGGGCCTCTTGCAATTGGCCTCGGGGTTGTCTTTGTCTCCTCCCTCGGTGAGATATGGTCTTTAACCTGCATTTCAGTATGCACCCGTTTTTATCTGCTTCATTTACCGCCGATGAGTCTTCTGTTCACTGTACTCATATGAACGACCATCCTTTTTGAATCTCCCACTAGATTGAGAATCAGACATATGGGGGTTTTATTTCATGTGTCGATTGAAGACGTCTAGTATGTCTGTTGTGTGATACTCAATCTCTGTCCAAATTCGAGCCCTTGAAGTGTTAGGGAAGTAGTATATTACTAGTATTAATGAGATGGTATTCCGGTTTCATGCTTTTGTGGGAGGAGCACTGCTCAACCCAACAGTTGTCACTAATATTGGAAAATTCACTGGATCCACTAATGCTTGATTGAACTATCATGGATCTGACAAGTAGGCATGGTTTTTCGAAAACCTTTTTGGCATATTTAGATAATGGACGAGGCCGCAACACATTCCCTATCATTCATTTGGGTCGGTGTTATTTTTTAAGCAGGCTTAGTTCTAATCGACAGGCCGTGCTTTTGTGGCGCTGGTTTGTTGCGAATACTTTCTAATTTTTGCATTTTTTTGTTAATCCTAATCTTTCGTAAATGTTACTTTGCAATGATGAAGTGAAAAGCGAGTGAACATGGGATGCTTGTTTGGCTTACAGGCAGCATGTTCTTATCGCCCATGGGTAGGCTGGGCTCGGGCCTCTACGCCATCAGTCTTTATGGCGGTCTGATTCTCTTCTCTGGATTTCTTCTTTTCGATACGCAAATGGTCATTCATCGCGCTGAGCAGTATCCACCACCCTCTCGCTCCCTCTATTCCGCTAGTCCTGGCCTTGCCATTACCGCTCGGCCCTTTGACCCCATCAACAAGTGAGTACTGTCATATTCGGAATAGATATCAGCTTTTTGTTCCGCTGGTTTCGCTATCGGCATTTTCATTAGTTACTGATGCTTGCCTTGATGAACTTTAGGAGTGTTTAATCAATTCCTGTTTATTTTTACGAGGTGCATTGCTTTTACAAATAAGAAATAAATTGAAAAGTTTGTTTCGGAGAAAAGTACTGTTGAGTGATTCCATCTTAACTCCTTTATGTGGACCTAATGGTTTACTTATTTTTTTAGTAGGTTTCATATTGAAATAGCTTATTTTTCATCTTGTTGGGCTAGCCTAGGTCATTACTTCGCCCACAGGCCAGTTAAAGTACACATGTGACAATAGCGTGAATTGCGATGCGGTTTACATCGGGCGTCAACAACTTATAGTTAAATATTGGAAAGCTGGTCCTTTAAATGATCAGAATTGGGGAATGCGGTTTATCCTAAGTTTGATTTTTAAGGAAATTGTTTCAGGGAGTCAAAGGACGGTTGGTCTGATACGTCAATCTCACCTCATTGTTATTTCTCTTTTCAGTTCCATCAGAATTCTCCTGGACACGCTCAACATTTTTGTTCGAATGGTCGCCATTTTCGCTGGCGGTGGACAGCGGAGGAAATGAAGCTGAGCAATGGGGCAAAGGAGTTGTAACCGCTGTCTGTGCCCATTGTGGACTCTCTACCATCACTCAAAGATCACTTTGGAATCTATCGTTTTCCACCGTGAGGTGCTTTCGTGTCAAGCTATTTAGGACATGGTGGAAGCCATTTTCGACCACAGCTCTATTCGTCACTCGAGTTGTCATTTTCTTCCTAAGTCTTCCTCATGGGAATGAGCTCTGTGCGGCCGTTAAGCATTGCAGGTGGAAGTTTTGTAGGCGAGTGAGGTAGTGCCTCTAACAGACCGCGTCAATTGAAAGAACAATCGATGGAGTTATGTGTTATGCTGCAGAAGAGACCAAATTCAGGGGAAGACGTGTGCTCTTCCAAGGGGACCTGTGCCAGTGAAGCGTGCATTGAATGTGGGCAGGTGGTAATGCTTGTTTTGGGCATTTGGAAGTAGTCGTGTGGGGGTCAAGGTCATGACAGTTGATAGTGGGCGTCAGGGCTGTGTTGGGGTGAGGAGATGCAAGCGTTGGGATCACTGATGCTTGATCGTTGGAGGATTTAGTAAGCACTAGGGACTGCTCCATGAAGGAGTTCAAGGGAAATGTTCAAAATCATGTTATTCTGGCACTTTCAGTGCCCATGGTGTCGGATCTCGGGGTTCATTTGGAGCGAGTTGGATCATGTTGTTGTTCCCAAGTAAACTGACTTACGGGGCAAAAATAGGAATACAGCACCGGAGTACTCCTCCGCATTAGCTGCAGTCACTGAGGTATGCATTTACCGGTGGGCCGATGCAAATCTGTAACTCTCCACTTTCTCGTCTCACTGTGCTTTCAAACCTGACAGCAGAAGCACGAAAGGGCTGGAAGGAACGGCCTTGAAAGTGCACGAGTTCTCATTCATGTCTGCGCATGGTTTTGCACACCTTCCCATATTGCAAAACAACGAGTTTTACGCCACATCTTGACTATTTCACGCATGAATAAGCACGCCACAGCAATTCTCAACCGAAGTGAATGAAGTACTCGTGACATTTCAGTGCAGAGCGCAATGCCTGACTGCGACAACTTTCTGGTTGGTTTAGACTGCAGCATTTGAGAGTGCTTAAGTCAGTGAGTGAGCTGAGTCTTTATGTGGAGAATGAATGAAAATTGTCCGAAGGGAACAATAGAAACGCTCAAGGATTGGATGAATAATTCAAGGGGAGAAGTGGTGTTACCGCCACGTGAGAAAAAAAGTTGTGAAAATTTTCGTCAAGGCGGGATTTGCATTTGGCTTGCTCTTTTAAGTGAAGAAAAGTGAAGCATTTTGAGCAAACAGGTTGATTCGGTAAGAGCACGCTGCAAAATTCCCATTACTTATCACACCTGTAAGAGCTGCCTGTCTACCCTTGAACCTCAGACATCAAGAGAGAGAGTTGGTTGCAGATGATTTATTAGGCATTTGTTGTAGGAAGGATGGGGAATGGAATGCAGATGAGGCGAGTAGGAGATACCAATTGGAGGGAGACTCTCCCACCGTCTTCACGCACGCGATTTGCGTTCCCAATTGGTTCCCGCCTCTCTCCCATAGAAGTCGCTTAAACAAAGCAGCATATATTACAACATCACTTTGACTGTTTGGCTGTCACTTTGGCTGTGTGCAAACCTTTTTGGTGTCAATTTTGTTGCTGTTGAGTGAGCTGCACCAAAACCTCACTTCAGTGTAGTCTGCCGGACTGTGCGCACTGTCTGCTGCCTTCTATGATGAAGCACAAAATTCTCGAGACTTTACAAAAGCATTTTTGCATGGTACGCGCATGTCTCATGCTAGATGGCGACTCAGAACTCCCTAAAGCACACTGAAACGAAACACCCTCCATCCAGTCTGGACTACTTCAACGTAATCCAGCTTGTCAAAGTGTTCCAACATTCAATCAGCCTGTTCAGTTCTCGCATAACTGACAAGACCAAGAGGTGATCGAGAAATGCGCTTCCTCACACTTGCCGTCACAGCTCAGAGGTGTGTTTAACTGACAGGGAGGAAAGCATAAAACTCATCCAGGTGACACAAAACTCAACAACAATTTTAAATCTGCGCATAAAATGAGTTCACACCTAACATCGTAGTTGTGGACAGCATCGCAACTATGCAACAATACAGGCGAATTGACTAAACCAAAAAATTGCACTCTGTTTACACTTTCCCTCCAACGGAACGAAGTGAGGATGTAGTAATTGAGTGGTGGGTGTCAGTGAACACCGACAAAGAGGGCGTTCTGCATTGCTTACCAGCGGTCGAGGATGCACACGCAAACACTCTGCATAGCTGTCGAACTGGAACAGAGATGAGTGGACAGTTCTTCGCACCTACTCTGGGTGAAAGGGCGAGGACACTAATTTCGTGGATGCGTATGATTTATGTTTGCTCCTTCACCGCATTCCGATGATGGGTGAACCAAATAAGTCTACATCCCACCAGCGGGCTTGGAATACTTTGTTGTTTTCGACAGGTCGTAACCCCATTATCAAAAGTTTAGCCTCGCTAGAAGAAGTTGGTCAATCTTAATACCTTCTTTTGCTAAGTGGGAAGTCTTGAGACGCTTTATTGGCGGCAATTGAGGCAAAAAGGAATCCAACTTTGTTGCGGCATTGGGCATGGCTCTCACCCTTTGCAATAAACTTCTGCGGTCTAAATGTGCATTTCGGTTGGATGATACTCTAACTTCTCCACAACAAAAGGGCTGTGAAAGACGGCTGTGTGTGACATCAATTCCATTTCCGTGCTTCAAACGCCTGCTGTTAAGGGCTTAGGTGATTTCACCTCAAAACTTTTAGCAAAGCGTTGTCTGGGAGTTCCTCTTACCATACCTGCAAATCGACGTTAGCACGGCATAATGCCAAACCATCATCATACGGGACAATGTTAGTCGTCGTACTCCCTTTTACAAATTAGCTTTGGACAAATGATTTTAGCACAATCTTCAGACCCTGACACCTGTTTATGGGCCAGGAATAACACCTAATCCGGTTGAAAATCATGAAAGGGCTGTACGTTTGCTCGCGCACATAGGAGCGGAAGGTTGGTACATATTGCTGGTAATTGGTTCCATATCGCACCAAGTACGGTGTGCTGGCTGTCTCGGAAGCCTCAGAAGACCTAGCGCCATAGAATGGAGAGATGTAGTATCTGTATGCCGGTCAGTGTGACGTTTATGCGTGAACTTCTCGAGAAATCCCATTAGGCATAAGACGGCATTAGTTAGAGCTAAAAGTATTTGTTAACAAAGAGAAGGAGCAGAGGTTGGGATATGACTTGTACCGTAGAGTGACTCATGCAGCCAAAAGCATGGTAGATATTTAAGGGATCGACAGTATCACAGGGTGTAATGCTTTGTTGATGTGACTATCTGACGTCTGGCGTCCCAAGGCTCCAAATGGGGTAGTAGAAGGCATAAGTGAGGTTGAATACATGTATTATAAAAGCATTAGGAGAAATGGGGCCTGAGCGCGACCCGAAGGCCAGCCCACGTGTACAGAGCCCAGACAAGTTCTAAAGTGACCGCCAAACGTCAGATAGTCGCATAAACAAAGCATTACACTGCCCCTCTCTTCTTTTGAGCGACGTCCTCGGTGCTCCCCTTTAATACACCTCATGCTCCAGCCATCACAACATATTCGGTACTACAAGAAAGCATCCACGAGCCAACCGCGCCAGTCGCAGACAGCGCGAGAGCGAGGAACCGTACCTGATCTTCTCGGCAGCTTCAACTGGGTCTGGAGTTTCGTTCGGTCTAAGAACTAGATTCGGGGACCCCTGCATCTGTCGACCATCAATTGCTTCCAGAAATG